AGGGGAGCTCAAAGGCATGGTTCAGCAGCTAACAGAAAACCCAGAACTCATGCACAACCTGGAGAGCGCGTTAACAAACCCCAGCAGCCCAGCACAAATGCTGCTGAACAGTGCTCATATATCAAGCGATGGAAATTCTCTGCCTCAAGATCAACAGGCACAGCAGCTGCCACCGGAGATGGAGAACGCTGAGGTTTCATCCTTGCTGAGAAACCCCAGAGCACTGCAGGCATTGCTACGGATCCAGCTGGGATTACAGACCCTCTCAACAGAAGTACCAGATTTTATTCTTAGTTTGGAGGACTCACATGTGGAGCTGGATCTGGAAAGCATGGACGACTCGACACAAAGCAGTGAGTCTGAGGACGATGTAATTTTGATGTCAGATGAGGATGAAGCAGAAGGCCAGGCTGAGATGGATGAGGAGACGCCACAGACCAGATTTAAGAGACAAATGGAGCAGCTCAGTGCCATGGGCTTCCAGGACCAAAGTGCAAACTTGCAGGCACTGATTGATGCAGAAGGAGAGATCAATGCAGCAGTGGAGATACTGGCAAAAGCACCATCATCAAACAAGATACCATAACCGCTTTGTCCAAATGAACCAGTTATGGTACCTCATTTGTTGATGGTTGTATTTCAGTCTTATCACACACTAAAAGCAACAGGGTGCATACTGAGAAGTCGTGTACTGTAGTATTCTTCCATCTATGAGAATTTCCTCTTAGCTGCAAGGATTTCTCACATTCAAAAGCAATAGACATGAGGACCTTCCTGTGTTGTGAGGCAGGCCCTACCTGAATGAGGTGCTACCCAATCACAGGTAGAGTCTAGGATCCAGGTGTGTACGCAGGGAAAAAACATGCCAGGAAGGGACACCGGAGAGGGAAAATACGGCTTTTTACAGATTAGGAACTGAGATCCAGAGATGCTGAACACAAGTTGACAAATGAGCTTGGCTCCCATTTGGATTCCAAAACAAACAGTGGTGGCACTTTGACACCCGCGCTTTTTTTTTTTTTCTCCAATCTGGCCCTAAAGAAGAGAGGCAGGGAGTATCCTTCCCTCAACTGAGCAAATGCTGTTTTGAACGTCAGTCTGTCATTTCTGCCACTGCTTCTCCTACAGGATTGAAGTCCATGAGGGTTATGGTAGCCATCACTGGTATCCGGTTCTCCACCAGTCGCACCACATCCCTCCCTTCCTGCTCCTCACCCTTCCCCTTTGCCCTGCACCCGAGCTCTGAGTCTCCTTCCTGCTCTGGGTTTCCCACTCATATCTTCTGCAAGCGTTTTGTCTCCCAACATCCTTCCCTTACAATATGTCCAGTGAGAGGTTTTCCACCTGTTTCTTTCACCTCTTCCACCTTCCCCATTTATGGTTCTTTGGCCATTCTTGTGCCAAATTCAGACTTTTTGTGTCCTATCTCTCCTTGTTATTTTGTTCTTTCTTTCTCCCCACACCCTCTTTCTTTTACCTTTCTAGAGGTGGTTGGAGGGTTGGTCCTGGGGAGAGATGGGTTTGGTCCTCAATCAGCTGTGGCTGGAAAACGCCCCTCACTCATAGCAGACCCCGTGTGCAGCAGTCATGCTTCCCCTGACGTGCTCTGATAAAGCTAATTCCGTATGACAGCGTTAGCCTCTGGCAGGAGTTGAGAAGCTGATCTCGGTCATGTCCTCTGTTTACCAATGGGCAAAAGCTTCAGCCCTTCCCTCTCTCAAGAAGCTGGTCTCAGCCTCGGCCACAAGGATGTAGTTTATCCCAGGGTCCTTGGGGTCTCTACACAGCATTCATGGTCTGAGGAGAGTGTTAGCTGCACCAAGTCAAGACTGTTCAAACTTCCCCAGTGGTTAAAACTGCCACTGATGCTTCAGGTTCATGCTGCTGTGAAATGCCTCTGCTTCGGACCATGCTCGAAGACTCAGATGACAACATGGGGCTGAACATGTGTGCAGAGTCTATATGACCTGCACCGGGCTGTTTATCCAAGGCTGATGCTGGAGTGAGATCGGTGTGGGTGGCAGACACCGAAGGATCTCGATGTGGGCTGTGCATCCAGCCTCCTGCTGCAGCCAGGTTTGGGTGGAACAAAGTATTTCTTTAAAAATGTTTTTGTTTCAAATTCAAGCAGTTTTAAGTTTCGGTTACAAAGGATACGAAAATACTTTGCCTTTTTAAACATATTTTAATCTTTTTTTCTTAACAATATTTTGGTAAACCTGGGAGGAATTCATGACACATGAAGAAATCACTGCATGTGGATGTTTTTTTCCCACAGAAATTACCTCCTGATTTTTTCTCAGCTTCTGAATGGGATTTTTGGTGTGATTTGGCAGTTGCTAGAGGACTCTGGTCCCTTGCAGTCGGGGTAGTGGGGAGCGTAGGGCCATTTGTGCGTGCAGGTCAGCACGAGCTCTGCCACTGCTTTCACGTCCGTCTCTCTTCTCCCTGCCTGTGGGCACGGGTGCACTACGGGGAGCCTGGCGGGCACAGAATAGCCCGTGTCTGGGATGCTCAGCACCCTCCGAGTCAGAGAATAGCCTGTGTCCGGGATGCTCAGCACC